CTCAGCCTGAGGTGGAAACACGCAGATTTTCAGCCCTGAAAAGCTGTCTGTCTTGGGCCAGCCCAGAGGCACAGCTCCTCTCCACTGTCTCCGCCTGTTCCTGGACTGCTCTGCCCACATTCTTCTGCGGCATGTAGCGCAGGCTTGGTGGGGCGTGGCAAGGAGCGCCCAGAAAATGCCAACGGACTGAGAGGTCTCCAGCTGTTTCCCTCACTGTTCAGGCTGTCGTGGAGTCGGTTTATCACCTACTGTGGCCTGGCATGAGACAGTCTCCAGCTTCCCAGCCTGCCACGTGTGTGTGTGGTTAGGACATATTTCTGTTTTTGGTACCTGTGGGAGGTTTTGTACTTCTTCTAGGTTTAATATTCTGTATTAAGTAGTCTGGGGCTTTCTTTCTCTAAGAGAACCCTCACCCCAAATAGTGACTTAATAGAATAAGGAAGGTGAGAAGGATGCCACATACCTGTAATCCCAGCTACTTGGTAGGCTGAGGCAGGAGGATCACAAGTTCAAGGCCAGCCTAGGCAACTTAGCAAGACCCTGCTTCAAATAAAAGATCAAAAGAGCTGGGGACTGGCTTGGTGCAAAAGCTTTGCATATAATCCACAGGAGGAGTGGGGGAACAAGTAAGTTAATTTCTCTTTCACGTGAAGTTTGGCCGTGATAGTCCATTGTTGCTAGGCATCAGGACTTGTTGCTAGGCCCCTCCTCTGTGCCCTGATGTCTCCAGGGTCTCAACTTCCTCTGAATGGTGACATCCTGACTTAATAGTGTGACTTCATTCCCACCTGGGCACCGGGGAAGGGACAAGGCTGTCCGTGCCGAAGGGCCAGACCAAGACACTGCACATCACTGATTAACTCTCTGATTATCTGACTGGTGTCTGAGGACGTGGTCAGTGTCCTTGGCAGCCCTGTTCTTGGGGACAGACATCTAGCAGCTGTGTTTGGGCGATCGCCCTATGAATGCAGGGGTGGTTTGTGTGGCCCTGGAAGGCACCAGGTGTCTACTGTAGGGACTCTCCTCTGTGCACCCCAGCACCTCCTGTTTCCTTTAGTGCATCTGGCATCACCCTGCTGGAGTCCGCCTCGCACAGGCCTGGCCACAGGGCACCTCTGATTCAGTCTAAACCGCCAGCTCGCTGGGCCTGGCACTTCTCAGGGATTCGGGAACGTGTGTGTGGGATTGAACAGTGATGGTGGTGAGTATTCCTGGAGAAGCTACCACACATTCATCCACCCATTCGTTCCCACTTGTCCACCCACCCACCTGTCCAGCTCTTCACCCATCCATCCATACAATTGTCTACCCACCCATCCGTCCATCCATCCATCCATCCATCCATCATCCATCCATCCATCCATCCATCCATCCATCCATCCATCCATCCAGTAGCCAGCCATCCAGCCAGCAGCCAGCCAGCAGGTATTATACACCAGTTCCTGGGAACCCCATGCCTTCTTGTCGGATAGAAAGCATAGCCTTTTCATCTACGGAGCTCATGGCTAGGGGAGGTGGCTCCTGTACTCTAGGGACTCCTTTGTCAGAAAAACAGACGCCTTTCACTTCAGTCAAAGCTCCTTTCCTCCTTCACCACTGCCGACACACTCACCCGTTCTGGCCCTTGGTGTCTCTCTCCCCACGGGTGCCATCCCCAGGAGTCGTCGGGGCTTTGGCCAGCTCAGGGTCACTCTTAGGCTGGCAACTGCATCTTGCTGTTTTTCCAGGGAACAACTGTTCCCCGCTCTCTGTGGCCCTGGTGGGGCTGTGGGTCACTGTGCCTTGTCCCCTGCCCTGGAAAGGGTGGATGACAGAGGATGGAGAATCGAAGAACTCCCTCCTTCTGGCCCAGGACTGTCAAGCAGGGTCCCGAGAGGTGAGGACGTGGCTGCTGAAGAGGAGAGAGGCTGTCATCATTTCTTCCTGTCCCTGTTACATAACAAGCTGCCTGCCCCTCCCGCTGTGTAACCCACTCGGGATCTCAGCCGCGGGGGGCCTTATGCCAGCAGTGACTCCAGCCCTGAATTCCCCTCTGCGCCTCTCCCGGGTCCATCTCCCCAGCTGTCAGACACGCTGCACTGGGCACCGTGTAGCCATGGCTGTTTCCAGCCACCCAGCCTCTGTCCCTCCTCTGCAGAACCACGTCAAGTGTGTGGCCGGTGTGGCAGCGGCTCCCCCAGAGCGGCATCTGGATGAAGGGCAGGAATCCTTCCTACCTGCTGGTGATGGGGTGAGACCCTGGCACGGCTCCTGCTGTGGGCTTGGGAGCCCCTCCTCCGACCTGGCTTGCAGAATCAAGGCTGCCCCCTCCCACCTCAGTTTCCCTTCTGAGCTGCTGTAGTATCCCCTCTGTCTGTCTGTGTGACAAAGTTCTTCCTCTTGTTTGAAAGCAAGGCAGTCTGGCTAAATCCACAGCAAGCTTCTCTTGGCCCCATCTCCCTTCCCAAGAGACATCTTTCTGTCCCTTCCCTCTGTGGCCATGCTTAAGAGTTACCTGGCTGGCACTGCCCCTGCATCTTCCAGTTCCCCCTGAAAGGCTCCAGGGGCTCCCTGAAGCTGCCTGCTTTGTGTGCCATGGGTCCCCACAGAGCCCCGATTCCCTCTGCCCTTCCTGGGTGCTACTTCTCTGTCTTGGCACCTGCTATCCCACAGCTGGATCCTAAGCCTCTCTGTCACTAGCTCATCCATCTCTGGGACTTCCAGGGCCACCCCGGCACTATGGTCACTAGAGCCCCCGGGATCCTCCAGTCCTGTGTGCACCTTGCTTCTCCACTTGGGGTCTCCAATGTCCCAGGGCACCTCCACTGAGTCCTGAGTGCACCCCACACTCGATCCTCTCCTGTGAGGGTCAGGGTCTCTGCGAAGGGCATGTGGCCCATGCAGAGCCCAGCCAGAGCCGCCTCTCTTGTGCAAAGCTGCCTCCAGAGCCCCGTGCTGCCTCCTCCCCACAGCCCCAGCCTGTAGGTCCAGACCTGACCCAGGAGGGGTTGGGATGGCACCGGATAGCAGAACGTGACACCCAGCATTGCACAACCCCGCCTTCCGCACCGCCCCACAGGGAGGTGGGTGTAATCACACCACCACTGGGTAGGTGGGAGTGCACACTTCTGCTTGGGCGTGGGGTTGCAGCAAACGTGTGGGGGCTGGGGCTAGAGCTCATGCTGAGCCCCCACCCCAGAATCACTCTGGACAGCTCCCACAGCAGGGGAGCCTCCCTGTTGAGCTTCCCACGCAAGGAGGGGACAGTGCATCAAGGGCAAGGCCCAGGAGATGCCTGGGGACCCTGGGCTGTGGTCCAGCAGGGCGTGTCCATGGGCAGCCAGGATGGTGGCCGTGTGCTGGCACCAGAGCCTGCAGGCTTCCCTGGAGCACACACAATGAGGTGCTTGGGGAGCTCTTGGGGAGCTGGGAACCCAGGGTTGACGTCCCCATCAACCTCCGCCAACCTCAGCACAGCTGTACACACCTGCCCCGGCCCTGCCCCACCCCTTTCTGGGTCTCAGACGGCATCTCCAATCGGCGAGCAGGAGTAAGGTTCCCGAGACAGAGGGGAGCTTGGTTCTGGGGCAGGGCAGAACGCACAGTGCCCCATGGGCTCCTGCACAGGGTCTTCCAGCAGGTCAGGTGGCGGGGAGGCAAAGCCCAGGAGCCCTGTTTTGTAGAACCTGAGGCGTCCTCTCTGGGAAAGGGTCACCAGGGCAGGTGACCCTTCTGAGGAGATGGAGGTCTCCGGGAGCTGGTTGGTCACTGCCCCTCAGCAGGGGGACCTGGACAGGCAAGCTGGAGCTGGGGCTGGTGTCTATGGAGCAGGAGTGACGCTGAGGCCCCTGTAGTTGACTGGGGCTCTGGGGCAGCAGGGTCCTTGTACCCAGAGGCCCCAGGGACAGGTGACAGGAACCTGCATAGCACAAGGGCTCTCCGCAGGCCAAGGCTAGGGGGCTGCCTACTTTGACTTGGAGCTCTGAGGAAGGGAATGGGGCTCCCCGGTCCCCACCCTGTCCAGGGGGTCCCAAGGACTGGATGGGCCAAGGAGAGGCCAGCAGGGAGTTGGGGAGAAAGGGTACAGGCTGGTGGGGTCTGCTCCCATTTTGAATGCCAGCTGTTGGGTCTCCTTGGTGGGCTGAGACTGAGGGCCCCAGGCTGGGTTGGGTTGGGTTGGGGGGCAAGGGTCAGGATTGGAACCTGCGCGTGTAAAGGGGTGACAGGATATTGGGGCCACTGCTCTTGAGCTTGGGGAAGGAGTCTACAGAGCTGGTGTTGCAGGTGGGCTATGGTGTTCAGGGGGCCAGTCTGGGAGCACGGAGCCCCGAAGGCCAGCTAAGGTCCGGGCAGTGAGGGCACAGCTGGGGATGCAACTGTAGGACCCAGGGGTGACCAGGCCTGGCGTCTGAGTGAGTGCACCATGAGCAAGAAGAGCGGAAGCTCCAGTCAAGGGCTGGAGGCGGAGGAACGCGGGGGCGTGGCCATGAGGAAGCCAATGGCCCCGGGGTTACAGAGGAGGGGTACGGCCTTGGGGTGCGGCTGGAAGACTGTTGGGACCAGGCCTTATAAAGCAGGGAACAGAGGGGCTGAGTGTAAAGATGGGTGTCTTGGTGTCTGCTGGGCGGGCCTGGAACCCGGAGGATCGTGGTGGGGACAAAGACGCAGGTCGATTGGGAAGGTGGAGCTTAGAGGGTCCTTCCTTGAAGGCTGGAAGCATCTACAGGGGGAGACCCGGCCCGGCTGAATCTTGGGGGCAGGGCTGACGCCATAGGGGCGGTACTGAAAGCTGGTCCGTGGGCAAGGGGGCGGAGCCGTGGGCACGGGGGCGGAGCCGTGGGCATGGGGGCGGGCTCGAGAGCAAGGGGCGGAACCATGAGCATGGGGGCGGGGCAGAGGGTACGGGGGCGTAGGGGCGGGGCCAGACGCCGCGGGGGCGGAGCCCGCGCCGGTCCAGGTGAGCAGGCCACCGCCCCCTCCAGCCCGGCTGCACCGCCCCGCCCCGCCCCGCGCCGGCCCGCGGCCTGTGGACCGCTGCGGGCGGCGTCTGCGGCCCAGAGCCGATCAGCCTGGCTTCATCTTGGGCCGCCGCGCCGGGCACCTGTGGCGGCCGCAGGAGCAGCGCTTCGGCCCGTTGCGCGGCCCGCGCAGGCGACAGGGTGAGAGGCCAGCGCTCGCGTGCCCGCAGTGGGAGAGGGGTGGGCCGCGCCGGAACCCCGTCCTCACTGCGCCTGCACCCCGACCTCGGCATTCCGGCTCCCGCGATGCTCACGGCCGCGGCCGCACCCCCATCCATCGCGGTCCCCCCTCCGGCTCCGCGGCCTCCTCGCCGCTCTCATCCCCGGTCCTCCCCATGTGCCCCCTCCACAGCCAGAAGCCGCCCCGCCTCCTCCTGCGGCTGCCGGCCGCCCGGATCGCTCGCTCCCCACCCCTGCCTGGTCCACAGGTCTGCAGTCCAGAGGCCCTGGTCCTGCTCGGGGCCGGAGGGCGGGCGCGCCGGAGCACCCGGGGCGAGGCCGTGCACGGGTCCCCAGGCCTCGGCCTGCACTGGCTGCGGAGGGCAGCCGTGTGGACGCCTCTCCGCAGGCTGCCCGCACAGGAGCGGTGCCTGGCCTCTGGTGTGTCCTCGGTGGCGCGTGTGTCCACCCTGGGCATGGTGCCCGGAGGAACACACTGGCTTCTAGGCTGGAGCAACTAGCAGGATTAGGATTGTGGGCAGAGCCTCCGCATGGCAGGAAACAGCGGGGCCTGGATCCCTCTGGGTTGGGCAGAGCATCTCTTTCCTGGATTCACACTCCTGCGCTGCCTAGCTTTGGCCCTGGTTGCTGCTGTCAGGTCCTCTTTCCCCTGGGGGTGGATTAAACCACCTGATGGAGGTTGCCAAGCCCCCACCACACAGGGAGGGACCTGTGGGATGTGGATCCCTCCCTGGCCCCCATGGGCCGGCTCCACACCCCCCACAGTTTGCCCTCCCAACGCTGTGGACTTGCTTTTCCCTCCATAGTTCTGCTGAACACAGAAGCTGTCATCCTGATGCCTGCTGCTCACCAAAGGGGAGCTCGCCGGACAGCCGGACAGCCGTGTCGAGTGTGAGAGCAGCGCTTTGGTAGTCCTCCTGGGCATACTGTAAAGCTCCTCTGCCGAGGTGAGTGTTGGAACATCTGACCAAGTTACCTGTGCAAAGCAGTCTGGCTGGGCAGTCTAGAAGTTTCCACACAACTGGGACTTTTGCTTAAAATGGCCTGGTTTGACAGCTGCATGTGAGGCTCGTTGGTCCTGGGGGTGCAGCCCAGATCTGGCCACAGAGCATTAGCTACGGCCGTCACAACTGTGGCATCCCCTGAGGAGGGCCCAAAGGATGCGAGCGAGCTTAGGAGCCTCTGTGCCCTGTGCTTTGCCTGTGCTGAAACCTCCTCCTGGAGCCTCTTTTGGGGAGCCAGACCCCTCCCAGCATGCTGAAGGCAGGTGGGCGCTGTCGGGCAGACTCCAAAGTCGTGAGAGGCTGATCCTCCCAGAGGGTGGTCTAAGGTAGGAAGTGGGAAACTGCGCTAGTGATGACCAGGCCTTAGGATGGCGTGAAGGTGGCAAGGATGGACAGCAAGACCAGGCTGACCTACAGGGCGCTGTGGTGGCTTCCTAAAAGGGCCTTATTGTGTCCCAGTGCTCGGCCCTTGAGCCCCAGCTGCTCATAAAGAAAAAATGATTGCAACAGCCCATCTGCCCTTGTGTTTGTGGTCTTCACAACAGCCCTGCAGTGTGGAGGCAGGCTTGCATTTTTCAGATTGGGGAAACAGAGACTCAAAAGTGAGGTGTCCACCTGGCGGGTACAAAAGGTAGCAATGCCCTATGTGCCCTTCCTCTATATTCTTAGGGAGCACAATGCGGAACCCTCTCTTTGTTTCAGCCCAAGGAGATGGGGAGTTGTGACAGGACGGGTGGGAAGCCTTCTCTCCCCAGGCTGACCTAGAGGGACTTCCTTGGAGCCCTGTCTCTCCCAGGGCTGGGGAGGCCAGGTTGCAAGAGAAGCCCTGCTGGGTTCTGGATCAGCCACTTACAGCCTTGGGCTCTTTGACACTTTTTAAAACTGCTTCCTTTTGTCACCTGCCTCTTGGGTAGTGGAATGGGGAGAGGAACCAGTAGATTTCTGGTCTCTCTGGTGGGGCAGCTACTGCAAGACTCCTGGCACTCCCAGCACTGATGGCGTCTCACCAGGTCTTGTTCCACCTGTGTTCTTACAGGGCCAAGCGCTGGCCTGCTCCCTAGGAAGGTCACCCAAGGCTATCCCGATGAGATCCCCCGGGGACCTGTGGCTGGGTGGTCTTTGTGCTGTTGGTGACCACAGGTGTGTTCCCTGCCTTCCTCACTCTGGGGAGTCACAGAAGTAGCAGATTGGGTGGGTGGGGCAGCTTTGCTCCCACTCATCCACTTACTTCATTGGCACTGAAAGTGTCAGTTGCTGGGCTGGGTGATGTGGTTCCCGGTGATGACAGGGGAGGGTGACAGTATAGGAGGCAGGTCTGCATGGGTGACACTATAGGAGGCAGGTCTGCATGGTGTTTAGAGGGGCAGAGGGCCTTAGCCTCTCACCAGCTGTGGGCCCTTGGGTAGGTCACCAAACCCCTAGGTTTGACGTCCTCCTTGTAGATGGGATGCTGATGTATCATATGAGGTTGCTCTGACAATTAAATGAGACTGAGTTGGCAAAGGATGTGGCCTGTGCCCGCACTTGGTGAGTGCTGGTCTCTGGGAGCTGGTAGTGCTTTCTTCTGTTTATCTGTCCATCTTAAAACCCCTTGAGGCCAGCACCTGGCCACTCACCCCTTTCCTGCCTCTCCTAGGACCAGTCTGGCTTCAGCCCCAAGGCACAGCTGGGATGGACCCTCCTTACCACGCCGAGCTGTGTCCCGAATGGCATGGTCAGGCAGGGCAGCCGTTCACCCCATGTGGCCAGTTAATTCAGATGGCTTAAGCTTCAAATGAAATCAGAAATGCGGTTTTTAGCCACTGTTGCTGCCTGGCAGTTGCCTGGGAGCCTCTCCTGACTGAGAAGCACGGGCAGAGCTGTCCCCTGTGCAGGGGTTAGGCCCCACAGTCCAGAACCAGCTCTGCCACTGGCCCAGCAGTCCCCAGCTGTCTCCTGTGTGCACCACAGTGAGACATTTGCCAGAACACGAAACTGGCTCTGGGAGCCCCTCCTCGCTCCCTGGTAGCAGCCTTGCTCACCTGGCCACGGAGGGTGGTTTCGTGGCAGACCTTATCAGCCCAGGGTGGGAGGGCAGGGCCGGGATTACCCAAACTGCAGCTGCTCCTCCTGCACCCGCCCTGTTTCTCCAGTCTGCCCGGCCTGCCTGGGTGTCCCTGAGCGATTTTCTCATGCACAGCTTTAGCTGGGGCACTGGCCAGGGTGCCAATGTCTGTAGCTTAACAGGGTCAGCCCCCGGGTCCTGCCGTTCTCCTGGCCCACTGTTTCCCTGCATGCTCTGAACCCCAGCCTCTTGCCTTCTGCTTGCCCATCCCTTCTACCGGCACCTGTGTCTTCCCTCCCTCTAGCCCCAACTTCCACACCGGGGCCTCAGATAGCCTTTTGGGTGGGTGCAAGCTCACTGCCTCTCAGGACCTGCCTTGGACCCGTGTGGGCACTCAGCCTGCTCCTGAGGGGTCTGTCCTTACACGAGCTCATTCCCTCTCTCAGGCTCACAGCAGACGTCAGGTCAGTGCAGTGTGCTGGTCGGGTGGTAGGGAATAGGCCACAGCCTGGCTTTGCCACCTTCCAGCTGGTGGGGAGGCCGGAGGGCAGCCCGTTTCATCTGGGCCCAACCGTGCTCAGCAGGGATGGGGTGACCCTGCTGGGAGGTCCAGGAAGGCTCCCGGAGGAGACACGGTGGTGGAGGAGATGCTGTGCTAGCTTGGTTCTGCTGGGTCAGTGCACACCTCCTGGGGCTTCTGTGTGGCCTGAGGAGGGGACAAGAGCAATGGCGGGGAGGAGGACAGAGGATGCAGCACGTTGGGCAAAAGGGAGCAGAAATGTCGTGTCTGGTAGTTGGTGTCGGGTGGGCATCTGAGTTCCCAGCTGCCAGGTGGAAGTGGATCCCGTGTGGCCTGGCTGCAGAGCCTGCTCAGCAGCCAGCCAGGGCAGGGTAGGGGCTCAGAGGAAAGGAGAGCTGTTGGGTGGAGCCCCTCTCTGGCCCTCGAGCTAGAGGCGGGTGTCAGGGAACCTGCCCCTTGCGTGGTAACAGGCCTCTCGGAGCTGCAGCACAGCCGGGCCAGGCCGGAGGGGGTTGGGTACAACCCCGGGAGTGTCTCAGTGTCTGTGCCATCTCATCTCGAGACCCTCTGTGCCCCTACCCTGTGCCCACAAGGTCTCAGGCTGTGATGACACAGATGCTGCCAGTCAGGAACCCAGCTGTTGTAACTGCTAGGACTCTGCAGCACTTTGGTACTGATCATCTGAGCCACTGTGCCAAAGCTCCTGCCTGCCCCAGTGCTTTGGTCCTAGCCCTGGGGAACCTGGGTTCTCCTGGGAAAGAGTCAGCAGCCAGGGCAGTGGGTGGTCCCCGGGACGCTGCTCCAGGGGTGCCGACGGGACATGTTTGTAGTGCCGTCTCCATGTGTAATGTGCGTGGCTTGGACTGGGAGTGTGACTGACTGCTCATGGCGCTGTCCCGTCAGGCAGGCTGGCACGGAAGCTGTGTCCTTAGTGTGCCCGGCACTGTAGCTCAACTCCTTCCCTTCCTTTTTTCTCCTGCAGGCAACCATGAGCTCCAGCCACCCCGAGCCAGGTTCCGGGGCACCCCGGAGCCCCCGCCCACAGCCCCTGTCCCAGAGCTCTTCCAGCCTGCTGTTCGAAGGCCAAGGGCAGAGGCCAGAGCTCCGCAAGAGTGCCAGCAGCACTGTGTGGCAAGCCCAACAGGGCGAGGCCAGCACTGGCCCCCAGGCCCCGGAGGAAGAGGGGCACCCACCCGAGAGCCCGGCAGTGCAGGCTCAGACCCTCAGCCCCCAGCCCCTCAGTCCCCAGCCTCGGGCTGTGGGCCACTGGCGGAGCAGTACGGTGGGCAATGTGTCCATGATGGGCAGTGGGGACCTTGGCCACCTGCAGGCCCCCCGTGTGGCTGCAGTTCAGCGGAGCCACTCGGACCTGTCCCGCAGTGTCCTGACCAGAGGGCACGGTGGACCCCGGAAGGCCAGCCTCAGCTGTTCGGCCCTCGGTGGCGGCTCCCCTGCGCACGAGGCTCCGCTGCAGTCCGGGAGTGTTTCTGGCCAGGTTGGCCCAGTCCCTGCTGTTGTGGAACAGGACCTGGCTCCAGGAGATGGGACTTCTAACTCCGCCTGCATGCTGGGGGACAGTCTGTCGTGGAAGCAGCCACCAGAGCTGGGGGACGAAGCTACCCTCAGCAGCAGTGTCCAGGCTGGGCCCAAAGTCACTGGACAGCCAGCCACTGCCTCCTGCCACGCTCTGCCCCCAGCTGCCCTGCTCTGCAGCACGAGGGAGGTGGTGACCAGCGGCTACTGCCACGCCCTGCCTGCCGCAGGCATCCTGGCCTTTCCCAAACTGGTGGCGTCGGTGAGTGAGTCCGGGCTGCAGGCTCAGCGAGGTGTAAGGCTCCACTGTACAGCACCCGGACTGATCCCAGGCCATGCCCACTGCTGTGCCCACCCATGGGGCCCCACGGTGCCGGCCACAGAGCCTGGCTGCAGGACCAAAGACGTGTGGACCATGACCTCTGCCAGCGACCTGGCACCCACACTGGCCTCGGCCCAGGATGCTGGTGTGCAGGTGGCCCCAGCTGCAGCTTGCAAGGCAGTGGCCACCAGCCCGTCCCTGGCAACCTCGGCCCTGCACATGTTCCCCGAGGTGATGCTGGGGCCCAGCCTAGAGGAAGCCCTGTCCCCTGTACGGGATGTGCGCTGGGACGCCGAGGGCATGACATGGGAGGTGTATGGAGCCTCGGTGGACCCTGAGGTGCTGGGTGTGGCCATCCAGAAGCACCTGGAGATGCAGTTTGAGCAGCTGCAGCGGGCGCCGGCCAGCGAGGACAGCCTGTCCAGTGAGGGCCGCAGGGGCCCGCTGCGCGCTGTCATGCAGTCCCTGCGGTGCCCCAGCTGCTGCGGCTGCTCAGGTGCAGCCCCCGAGTGAAGACCGGTGGCCCTGGAGCCCTGGTCAGCCCATGGACTTGGCCCGAGGCAAGGACCAGGGACAGCGGGGCCCCATGCCACCCAAATGCATAGCAGGCAGGTGCATCTCTGCCCTGAACGTGGACAGCCTCTAGACCACAGGATGCAGCCTGTGGTTTCCGGCTGCACACAGCAGGGCTGGTTTTCAAGGGCTTGAATGGCAAGGGCCACCTGGACATTCCAGTCTCTGGACTGTGGGCTGGGTTTCCTCACTGTGCGTAAGCGGGATTCTGGCTTTTCTGTAAAAATACTTGACCTGCTGTTCGGTTTTCACCCTCAGAAATCTGTCATGTTTCCCCTGGGACTCCCGGTGGCTTGATTTAAAGCATTGTTGAGAAAAAGTGACTTCTTAGGTTACATGGAGGACGTCAAGTGACAGGTATCCTGGCCACTGTATGGGATGGATCTGGGGAGAAGGAGGATCTCTGGGAGGAGACAGGCTTGGGTTTATGGGAGGCTCAGCAAGTGGGTGGGGGGTGCCACGTGCCGTAGAGAGTGGCTGGTGGCCACGAAGCCTCGCCATGCAGAGACTTGGCCTCTTGTCACCGTGGTTCTCACAAGAATGTGCCAATCTGTGCCATATCCTGCCGTTCTGCCACCAGGGTGGCAGCGCAGGCTGGGCCCAGTGTGGGACAGGCCAGACAAGCCACCCACCCACCTCCCAGGGACAGAGATGAACCTCTGCAGGGGATGCTGGAGTCCTGCCTGGCTCGGGTCCTGGCAGGGGCCCCTGAAAACCCTCTCGGTTAAGCCCCACGCTAGATTTACTGGCTGAGCCACCCGACCTCTGCCGCCAGACTGCCTGGCGAGACTGTGGCTGAATTTCTGGTTGGGACTGAAGGCTTCCCTGGCCTATCGCTGGCCCCTCCTGGGCCAGGCCGGGCACTGCAGTAGTCAGAGTGTCCTTACGAATCTTTGCCCTTGGACTTGGATTTGCAGCCAGACTTGCTGAGTCCCTTTCAGGTTCTGTTTGAGGGAGTATGGGATCTCATTGTCCATATATTTGTTTGTTTTTTAAAATTCAAAATAAATATAAATTGGGACGTCAGCAATTTCTCAGGGCCCCACAGGAAAGGGGTGTGTGTCATGGTAATCTTGTTAATTTTGTTCTGGTAAATTCTGTTCCTGGAGCATAAACCCAAGTCTAGGGTTCCTGCCCTGCAGGAATCTCCTGTCTTCTCTGGAGTCTCCTCTTCTCCTTCCTTCCATGGCAACCGGGATTCCTGATGCTGCAGCCTGGCTTCCCAGGCCGGTTCCCTCTCGGCCAGGGCACAGGTACGCATCTCTTGTTTGGCCTCAGGCTGCTGTTGCCTCATGGGAAACCAAGATCCAAACGTAGAGGAGGTATGAATGGGCCCTGCTGGTCAGCTGTTACAGTGTAGGGGTGACGTCACCTTCAGGTCCACTGGTGTGGGTCTGTGGCCCTGGTCACGCCAGTTTACTCTCTAACGAGTTAAAGGGTGCCAATGCTTTGGGCTGGGGCCGCCACTTGGGATCTGTGGCTGAGTTTGAACCTGGTCCACACTGACAGCCTCAAGGGTCCTGAGCTTCCTCAGCTGTCAGGTGGGCACAATGATGGTGCCTCCTTCCTTAACTGTCTCGAGAGTGGTCTGGGTATCCCATGTGAAGCACTCCAAATGTGCTCGTGGCAGTGTGTCGTGTCCTTCAGCCACACAAGGGCCAGCTTGGGACCTGGGCGGCCTCAGTTCTTAGGGGGCCTGGCAGAGGCCCCCCTCCCTCACTGCTCCTGTGGGGATGGCTTCCCCCAAGCCCGTGGTGACTGACAGGGTACCCTGAGGTGTGGGGAGGGACAGGATGGGATGGCCAAGCCGGGCAAGGGCTTGGCATCAGGCTCAGCTGGTCCCACAGAGGAAAGGCCACCTGAGGAAGGAGGACATGCCAGGCGCTTCTGGCTCTCTGATGCACAGGCTGGGGGAGTGATGGGGCCCTGGCAGGGTTATCCTGTCCCAAGGGAAGGTGTTCAGGGAGGCTGCTAGAAGGAGTCCCAGGAGGTCAGGCTATGCTCATGTCCTGGGCAGCCTCACCCCAGGAGACATGTGGGCCCCCAAATGCCCAGCCCTTAGCTCTACACGTTGCTTGGAAGCAAATCTGTCTTGTTTGTGTTCATGCCGGTGACGTTGGTCAGGGATTCGTTCTCCTCTGTCATTCTGGCCTGGCCCAGTTTTGACACATGCAGCCATGACCAACCCTCCAGCAGCTTCTGTCCTGCTTGTCAGAAGCGATGACCCTGCCCCGAGCCATTGGTCTCAGGGTTGTCCTGTAACATGATCTCCAATTTTAAAGGGTCATCCTGGGCAAAGCTGTTAAAATCCAGATCTTCAATGTCACTTAAAGCCTGGTTCCAGGACTGTCCCCTCACCCTGGGCAGGGCAGGAAGAGGATGTGACCTGCCTCAAGTCTTCCTCCAAATAATTCAGAAATGACTGCATTTCCTTTTCCAGATCTGACCTCTTCTGTTCTTCTAGAAGTTTGAGATCAGCGGCAAGCAGACATCTTCAGACTCTACCTCCTCACCCTTCTGGCCCTCGGGGCCCACCTGGCCTCAAACTCCTTCTGCTCGGGCTCCACCTCCCTCTCTTCTGGGCACCCAGCACACAGGCTCCCTGAGAGCGAGCCTGGAGGTGACCCTGGGGTGGGAGCAGAGAATCGGGCTCCTCCCTAGAACTTCCTCATGGAGACTTTCAGGGAGTGGAGTCCCAGAGCTGGGTGGGGTCTAGTTCTGTTGGGGTTACAGGGAGAAAATGAAGCGGGAAACCCAAGCCTCTCCCGAGGAGTGAGGTACATGGGACCAGGGGAGACCTGAAGGGTCCCATGCTCACCTCAAGAACTGGCTCACTCTGCCTCTGCTCCCTTGACTGAGACTGCAGGGCAGGGCAGGGCAGGCCCCCAAACCTGAGATCTGGAGGGTTAGCCTAAGACTCACCCCTGATGGGAACCCCTGGGGAGCACGGCAACTGGCATCCACAGCCTGACTGGAGTCTGTATCCGTGGATGCCTGGCCCCATCTGCCTGCCCTTGGAATTGTCGCCTCTTGAGCATCTTTCCTGAAAGAGAACCAGGGCACCTGCTCCACATCCTGTGAACCTCCAGGATGGCTGGGTTCCTGTGTGGGCAGCACTCCTGGTGGCCACACCTGTCATCTTGGTGTCCCTTCTCTTTAGTCCCCCTCCTTCCCTGTCTCAGGTCCTCTTGGTCCCCAGGACTGTCTCTCCTCTGCTGTCCTGTGTCCCTGCTCCTGTCATCTCTGCCCTCATGCAGGGACCTGTCTGGCCTCAGCCCTGTCACCCCAGAGCCCTGCCTTTCTCTTGCTATGGCTGGGGACATTTTCCTTGCCATAGCTGGCTCTCAGCATTCCTGGTGGTCGGGGGCCTGTGTCCTTCCTCTCCACCTGTCCCTTCCCTGGTGGGACAGTAAACTGCCCAAGTGCCCGGGGGGCTGTGGAGCTTCTCCTTGGAGAGAGAGGGAGCCTCTCTGGTGTCACCTGCCAGGGCTCCGTGGAGTCAGAGACTGCTCATCAACAGTCAGGCTGGGAGGGCACTGTGAACCCCGAAGCCTTTCTGGGGAGCTGCTGGAGGAGTGTGCTGGGTGGTGGTGTCCACTCGCTGGCCTGAGGCAGGGCCACCTTTCTTCCTCGTGTGCAGAAGGTCATGTGCCTTTCAATGAGTCCAGACATGACCTGTGTCTCCTTGGGCACATGGCCCACAGTTCTCATCTGAGAGTGTCTCTCCTGGCCTGAGTATGAGGGAGGGGACTTCTCACTGTGATATGGAGCAGACGTGGCTCCCTCCCGGGCCTGAGCTAAGTCTGGGTGTGTAGAGCAGGCCCTCCACGCAGGCCTCCCCATCTTCCTGTCCCCTCACCTTCACCTGCAGCCTCCTGTCCTCTGTCCCTTCTCACTTCCAGCAGTCAAGCCTCTGGAAGATGAGGACCAATGCTACCACTGCCTAGGCGAGCTGCCTGGTGCTTGTAAGCCCAGCTGCGCCGGGGAGCAGGGAAAGGGGACAAAGGACCTCACCACTGAGGTCCCAACTCTCATCTGCCTGGTTTCTGATCTTTGAGTTCTGCTGGGGCTCCTGACCGCCTCCTGAATGGAAGCCCAGGTGCCCAAGGGCCGTGGTCACAGGGGTGTGTGTGTGTTGGGGGGAGTCAGCCTGGACATCTGCCAGAGACTGGCCCAGGGCTGGGGCACTCGGGCAGGAAGCAGGATCCGGCTTTCCTGGAATTGTTGACATTTCGTCATTTGTTTTTTAATTAATTTTGATTTTGAAAATATTGCATTAAATGTCATTGCATTAAATGTCTCCTAAAGCCCAAGTCATCTCTCATGTCTTTCTGTGTGCCTCCTAGACACAGCCTGGCCCCCTCCTCTTCCAGGGCCCCCCATTTCCCTCTTTCCTGAGGTCACTCAGGTCCGCTGAGGTTTCACAGACAGAAGACGAAGGAGCGGGGATTTGAACGCCAGGCCAGGCTTTTGGTTTGTCTTTCAAAGGTAAAAATGATTTTTTGTGTGCGATAAGAATTTAAACCACCTGGCTTTGGCTTTTTGTTTTGGGGCGCGCGCGTGTTTGCAGTAAGACTTGCGAGTGGACAGGTCTGTGGGCGAAGGCTGGGCCCGCTCTCCCCTCGGCGTGCCCACAGTTCCCTGCTGGAGGATAATTTCTGTGGCTTCCTGCCAGCTCCCTCTGTGCCAGCTCAGGCTCCCTGACCACGTATTTACTTCTTTTCTTCCAAATTTTTATTTTTATGCATCCATGTTTGCAGTGCGTAGCAATCACATGCCTCGTGGCGAGTTGGTCCATAGACACAGTGCATCTTAATCCCTTTGAATTTCCCTTCCCTTCTCCTCCTCCCCCTTCCTTCCGCCTCTTGGTCCCTTTATTTGTAAACAATCTATGTCTTTGTTTCCTATTAGCTGCGTTTTATTTTGCTGTTTGTTTATATATTGGATTTCTCACGTAAGAGGAACCGTGTGACGCTTACACTTGTGTGTCTGAGTTACTCCACTTAACGTGATGGTCCCAGGGTGCATCCTGCAGACGATTCAGGTTCACCCCTCTTTATGGCACGAAGTGCTCTACAGTGCGTGTGCCACATTTTTTTGCACTTATCTGTGGATGGACAGATAGGCCGTGTCCAAGATTTAGCTATTCTGAGTCATGCTGCTAGAAACATGGGTGTTCATGGATCCCTGTAATACATTGTTTTTAGCTTTTTAGGAGAATAGTGGAGGGGAACGGACTTTGCAGTTTCATTTTTTTGTGGACAGTCCACTGATTTCCTTAGTGGTTGCGTGACCTTACCATGTCGGAAGCTTTGCTTTCTGCAGAATGGAGAGGCATCAGAGTCTTTCCAGACTGGAGCTAAGCTTCCTGTGTATTTCCAGGGTTGCTAACTCCTTTCTTTTTGCTGAGTAACATCCCTCATGCGGCTGCACTGGAGTTGATCGGTTCATCTTGGTGGCTTCCAGATTTGGTCTGTGAAGAACACAGGTGCAGTAAACACCCACGGGCAGGCTCTCGAGTGGACCTGGGTGTAGCTCAGCTGGGTGAATCCAGGAGCGCAGTGCCGGGTCGTTTGATAAGGCAGGTTTAGCTCTGCAAGAAGCTGCCAAACTCATAGCTGCCTCTCTGAGAATCTGCACATGCCTTCTGTCCACTAACAAGGGACAGATCCCTGTTCTCACACTTCCTGGCTGTGGTAAGAACCGTGGAATAAGAAATATCCCCATCAAAATGTCTATGGGATGAGCTTTCCATGCGGTGATACGAGCAATGGAGACCGGTCAATGATTTCCCTAACAGATTGCACCAACTTTACACAAAAGTGCATGTTTGCTCACACCCTCATCGACATTTAAGTGTCATCAAACACTAACACAGTACTTTGGTAGGGGAAGAGAGGGTATTTCGATCTGCAGAGCTGCGCTCTGAGCAAGACTGTGTTTTGCCTGACTGCCAGGAGAATCTGTCCTGGGCACCTTGAGTTGTGTGATGCCGGCTAAGTCCCTGACACACCATGGAGCCTTCG